GTCAAGGACAATTTAGCATTTTGCAGTGTTTTGTCATTTTCTTTTTCTTTTTTTTTATTTTCCTTCTCCATTTCTTTCCTGCTCGCAACCAAACTAATCAATAACACCAAAATGGTCAACGACTCCAGTGAACACCAATCATCGTCAATACCGCCACTGATCACCAGTAGCTCCACCATCACCACCAATAACCAGCAACTCTACCACCAATCATCACTGATTTCAACACTCAATGATCCCAAAATAACACCAAAAATTTCCAAATTAGATAGAGCACAAAATAACAATAAAAATTCTCAATCTAATAGTCTCAAAAATTAACAAAAAATTCTTGATCAATTGATCCCAACATAACACCAATTGATCGTGGATGCAAAGAAGCAGAATAGTGGCCCTCCAGGGAGAGGGGATTGGGAAAAACAACGCCAACAACAACAAGTACCATTCCTTCAGAGATCGATTCTGATTCGACGGCAGAGACAGTAGCGAGAATGCTGCTGTGCCGGAATCCAAAGATGGTGAACAAGGCGAGGCCGATAGACCTCAGCCGATCCACCGTATAAAAGGTTGAGTGCCTAGAGCATCCAAAGAGAATGGTATGAAGGCCTTTGATGCCAATATGCTGCTGATTCCACTTCAAATAAGGCAATGGACGGATTGAGTTCCCTGGCTTCGTCTTAGCTCCGAAGCTAGGAAGGTCGAAGATGGTATGTGGAATGAAGCCGGAATGACCGCAAAGCCCAGAACGCAGTTAAACAGAAGAATGACGATAAAGAGGAAGTGATTCAAATTCAAGAAAAAAAGTAGAATTGGGCATCAAACCATTTGACGGAGTAAACTTGATTTGAGGAAACAGAAGGATGAACCCCACTAAAATAGCTAAATCTATGTCACTTGGGCGGGATCTGGCACCTGCCTGTTCAACCGCCAAAGAATCAGACCTTCTTAAGGCACGGTGGGGCATTTCTCAAGGCCGGGAACGAATCAATATAAGTCGTTGGGAAGTATAAAGCCTGGCTATCTACTAAGAGCTACTAGGAGCATGCCGCAAGAAATTCATCTCTGTTTCTTTGGCGGCGTCTTAGCTACGAAGCTAGGAAGCTCGAAGATGGTATGTGGGATAAAGCTGGAATGACCGCAAAGCCCAGAATGTTCTGACATTTCCTTGAAGAAGATGATACATCTTATAAAATTTCAAATGAGCCCCTTAGTTCTACCTTTGTTTCAAATGAAGAAAGAAAGTTTTTAAAACTTTAATTGAGCCTTGAGTTAAACTTTGATTCAGTTTGTAAATAAGGTTAATATAGGAAATTTATATCTTTCCGTCAATTTGGATGATTTCCGTCCATTTTTCAAATTACTCCAAAGTACAAGGAGGTTATGTGGGAGTTTTTGAATAATGAGGAAGTTTCGTGTCAATTTCCTTAACCACAGGAGGGTTTTATGTATTTTACCCAAAAAAAAATGCAATCTAAGACATCCAAATATGATAAGTGAAGGGGTTAAAAAGAGAAAAGATAACTAAACCAAATGCTTGGATTCTCTAACTTTTCCAATAGAATCGCCAAGCTGTCGCGCCCTTTTTTTTGCGATAAAAATCATATTTACAAAAGATGTGATTTTTATTTAAAAATAAGTAAAAAAGGCCTAAAATAGGACTTTAAAGAATGCGACAGTTTGGGTCCAAAATTTAGTCTAAAAGTTTTTATAAGATAAATAAGAGTCGTCACTTGGTATTAAATTTGAGTGTACCAAGTCACCCAAAAAATTTTTTAACAAAATAAAATAAAATAAAACTCTTCTCGACAATTCCAGGTCTTTGAAAATGAGTTTGTGAGTCATGATTGAAGAAAGGAAAGGCAAATATTCAATCGACTCAAATCTAAGGCACCATTTCAATTTAGTCTAAACTAGTTGCGAGGATTATTCAAAAAATTTTCTAATCTAACCCCTAAATTTATCACGTTTTGATGTTTCTTACATGAATGCAAATCTAAATTTATAGAAAATATCAAAAGGAACAAAATGTCTATTCAAGGGTTTAATTGATATCAATCGCATTAATTGCGAAAGCCAAAATAATTCCTTAAAAGAGGCACGAATATACAAAAATGAAATTCAAAAGAAAAGAAAATTAGATTATATATAGATATAAGTTATCAAGAAAGAAGGGATGCAATATAATGGGTACGAGAGACAAAACTCGTGACAAAATTTTCTTATACAGAGACTAATGAAATATTTAAACTAAAGAGTGATAATCGCTCATTTGCCATGTTCAAAGAATAATTCTTCTAATCTAAACAAGCAAATGAACTAACTTATTTTGTAATTTCTTAAATGAGATGCAATCCTAAATGATATGATTAATACATATAAAGGATAGGGGATAGAGTATAATATAATAGGAAATATCATGCAAATGGGAAAAGCTCCTAAAATAAAAATTATCCAAAAAAATGCAATGAATGTCATACAAAAAAAAAATGAATCTAATGCATGAATGATGTAAGAGTCTAGCGTTGGACTAACCGATTTCTAAAAACCTTAATAGCGTTGGACTAGCAAATAAGCGGAAGGAGAAACCACAACTAACATTAGACTAGTGTGATGACGTCATGCATTCATAATACATAGCAAAACAAATAAGGCATAAATTAAAACAAATAAACACATAAGAGCACGTAGCACGTAAATATAATATCTAGATGCAAAAATTCTAAGGAAAGCGAATAAAACATATAACACATAAACTACATAAACACATAAAACCTACCTATTATAACGGGGAATCTAACTACAATCTAAAATGAAAAAATATAAGGAAATAAACCTATCTATTCTATCTATTACAATAAGGAACCTAATTACAATATAAAGAGGGCAAAATATGATAAAATAAACATACTTATCCTATCTATTATATTGGTCTATCTAATTACAATTTTTTGCAAAAATATTACCTATCTATTACATCTTGAGGTATTTAAATAACTTTCAAATAATTATAAAATTAACTAAATAAACATAAGAAAATTTGAATCAAATAAATAACAAAACATATAAAAATATATAAACACGTAAGAGCACATAAGACCACGTAATTGATATTTACATAATAATAGGGGTACCTCCCTTTTGAAGTAGTGACTAAATGGAGTCAAATTGCCCTATTTATACTCAAAATGAACAAAAGAATCATGGCACCAATTTAATTGAAAATAATAATAATAATAAAAGTACTAAATTCACATTAATACATCAAACATAAAGAAACTTGAAGACATCAAAAATTACAAGTTGAATACATTCAAAATTAACATAATTAGCTATTAACGAAAAGAAACTATTACAATAAGGAGACTCAAAAAGTCACAAGGGACCAAATTGCAAAAATCAGAAAATTTTGTGAGCAATAATATAATTTTTCAAAAGTTCAAGAGTCAAAAGGCAATTAAATTAAGGGCCTGAATGAAGAAATTTAAAATTTTCTGGGCCACAATAAAATTGCTCTAAAGATTAGGGGCTAAAGTGCAAAATTTATTTTTCTGATTTTTGTAAGGAAAGCGTTTTGGGCCATTTATTTTTCTTTGCTTGCTCCAGCCGGGAAGAAAAATGTGGGCTGTCTTCATGAAAAATAAACACCAGCCCAAATGAAAAAATCCCCCAAAAGGAAGACTCCAGCCTAACCGAAATTAAAGTGAAAATCTCATCAGAAAATAAAAATTAGCCCAATCATTTTTTTGCTTCTTCCTTCTTTTTTTTCGTTCTTTTCTTCTTTTTCTTTTCTTCTTCCCCCTCTTTTTTCTTCTTTCTCTCCTGTGTAGCTGAAACTTCCTCAGCCAGTGGCCATGGCAAATTTTCTGATCACAAAATTTCACCAAAATACACCCACCCACTCAATTTTTCGCATAGAATCCGTTTCTAGGCTTAATTTTTACAAAAAAAAAAAAAATGAACCGAAAGTGACGAAATAGCCAAAAAACAGTCTAGTTTTTATTTTTTCAAAATCACTATAATCACCACTAAAATCATAAAACTTATACCAATACACCCCTTATGATATGTACAACATAACTATGAGCTGAAATCAATGAAAAGCAACAACAATGTAACAAAATTAAAGCAAAAACAGTCCAAAAATTAAAAAAAAATCCTTCAATGCTTTCTTTTAAGGCTCAAAAACTCCAAAAACTTTGGATAATCAAACATATTCGGACCTATACTAGCTAATGATCATCTATTTTGACCAAAAAAAAAACATGCACAATATCCAGTTTTTTAAATCATTTTTTCATCTGAGCATTTTTTAAACACTTGGAATGCATACACTAAATTTATTTCCTTTTGCCTAATCTTGCTTGTAACTTGCCTATTATCCCAGCAACACAGTAACAACGAAAGAAACAGCAAAAGCAGGAGAAAAATAAGCAACAAAATATGAATTTAATGTGAAAAACAAAACTGAAAAAGGAAAAAAAATACCTCAAGAATATTGTATTCACTTGGTCGGCAAGGTTTGTGATGCAATTCCGAAGCCTCAATGGTCTGACCACATGTTCCCCTTTTTTTGCTTGATTTGTGAATGGGTATGTGAACTTAGAAGAGAAAAGGCAAAGCGGGACCGAGAGCTGAGGTTTTGGGTTTGAATTGCTTGTTTTTTTTTTTTTTTTTTTTTGTGTTATGGAATTGAGAGGGAGACGGGAGAAAGGCCGAGAGATGTTTTCCTTGTTGTGTCCTCTGTGATGGTGTGTGTTGTTGTTAAGGTTTCAGATGGAGGATTGAGAGAGCTGCGAGAGTGGTTGGGAGTTGGGGTGGTTTTTTGTCTTGTTAGAAGTTAAAGAAAGTGAGTGGAATAGTTTTTTGTCAAATGATGAATTTTTGTCCCAAAATGAAAAGAAAGGTGATTAGAGGTTAAGTGTCAAAATGGATTAATAGTGATTTTGGTAGGGAAAATGATTAAAATGTGTAAATTTGGTCATAACTTTTTCTTCTTCTTCTTTTTTTTTTTCATATTTTCCTTTTCTTAAAAATAAAACAAAGATGAGAAAAAGAAAAAATAAATGAATAAATAAAATTAAGATGCAGGAAAACAGATAGCTCATTAAATAGATGAAAATCCAAGAAAACGTTAAAAATTGACAAAAATTTGATGTTTACATAGACGACTCCATATCTTTAAAAATAAGAGAAAAGAATTCGAAAGTCACAGTTAAAGAAAGAGAAGGCAAAGATTTTGATTTAAGACACCCTTTCATCCTAACCAATGAGCAGTTGCGAGATTTAATCGAAAATTTTTCTAGTCTAACTTATAAAACTTATCACGTTTTGGATGCTTCTATATGAATGCAAATCTAGATCTAAGGGATATCTAGAGAGTCGAAATATCTTTTCAAAATTTAATTGGTACCAATCACATTAATTGTGATACCTAAGAGTAATTCTTTGAAGAGGTCACGAAAAATACAAAAGATGATATTCAAAAAAGGAAATTATAATATATGGATAAATGTACATGACCTAGAAGGGGGAATACAACATAATGAATATGGAAGACTAAAATTCGTGACAATTTTCCTTCTTATAGAGGGGTAATAGCGTGCTAATGTTAAAAAATCATACTTGTCCATTTTTCATGTTCGAAGGGTGACTCTTCTAATCTAAACAAGCAAATGGACTACCATATTTCTAATTTTCTAAAATTAAATGCAATTCTAAATGATATGATCCAAACATATAAAGGGTAAGAGAATAATAATAGGAAAAATATCATGCAAATGATAAAAAATCCTAAAAATAGGAAAAAATAAATGAGCTACAATAAAAATCACACTAAAGCATGAATCTAGCGTATCGATAGCGTAAAGGGTCTAGCATTAGGTTAACTCATTTTTACAAGTCCTAACTAGCGTTGGACTAATGAGAAATCGGGGAAAAAATCACAACTAGCATTGGACTAGTGTGATGACGTCATGCACTCATTATAAATAAATAAAGCATATAAAACATAATTAAATCGAATAAACACATAAAACATATAAAGTATGTAGAGTACATAGCACATAAGCATAATATCTATATACAAAAATCCTAAACAAGCGAAAAACACATAAGCATATAAACACACAAGTATGCAAGCAAATAATACTTAATTATTATATTGGGAGCCCTAACTACAATCTAAAAGGGGGATTTTAAAAAATAATAAACCTATCTATTACATTTATCTAACTAATTATATTTTTGGCAAAAAATAAAATCTATCTATTATATGGCCTAGCTAAATACGTTTCTTAGGCACCTATCTATTACAATTTGGCCTTTAAATACCTCCCAAATAATCATAAAAAATTAAATAAAATAAATGAAAACTTGAAATGAATGAAAGCTAAAAAAATGAATAAAATGAAAGAAAAAACACTTAAAACATGCAATCACACATATAGAAAATATATAGAAGCACACAAAAAGAAATTTAAAAATAATAGAGGATACGTCTCTTGAAATAGTGACTAAATGAGGTAGAGTTTACCCTATTTATACTACAAAATCAACAAAATAGTCAATGCACCAATTTAATTAATAATTTAAAAGAAAATGTAAACATATAGCAAATTCACTTTATTATTATAAAAAATATGAATAAACATAAAATTCCTAAAATTTACGAATTAAATGCATTTAAATTAAGCATGATTAACAATTAGAGATGAACAATTGTAATTAAGAAATAATAAAGATCAGGGACCTAATTACAAAAATTTAAAAGCTTTTGGATCAAATTATAATATTTAAAGAGATTAGAGGTCAAAATCAAAAGAAAAATAAAGTTTAGGGACCAAAATATAATTAAATTAAGGACCTAAATAAAATAAATCAAAAATTTTAGAGCCACAATAAAAATACTCAAAAAATTAGGGACTAAATTGCAAATTTTGGTTTCTGATTACATAAATATATATATTGGACCATTTCAATGCATTTGGGTTGCCATGTTGCAGTACTTGGACCTGACCACTCTAACCTAGAAGAAAACACAGGCTAAATCCATTAAAAGAAACAAGCAAACCCATTGAAAATACAAAGCTTAAATATGGTAAAAAATTGGGCTTAACATGAAAGCCTGATCACAAGCCCAACTGAAAAAAAATTTCAGCCCATTCGTTTGTTTTTCTTTCTTCTCTTTTTTGTTCTTCTTTCTTTTCTTTTTCTCTTTTTCTTCTTCCCTTCTCTTCTTCTCTGGTCAGATCAAGCTTCTCGCCGGCGACCATGGAGGACGCTGGTGAATTCTCCGATCACAAAAATTCGTCAAAAGACATCTCTCCACTCGATTTTTTGCGTAGAATCCATTTCCGAGGTTATTTTTACAAAAAATGAAAGAAAAGTGGTCAAATTGCCAAATTACAGCCACGATTTTGTTTTTCTAAAATCACTCAAATCTCTCCCAAAAATCATAAAATTTATACCAAAACACTACTTGTGATTTCTACAATCCAACCATGACCTTAAGTTAGCAAAAAAAACCCAATTTAATTCAGCTTTTCATTTTGGCTTTTTTTCAAACATGTTATAGGCATAATTTTGGCTCACATGCTTTATGAAATTGAAGTGGATGCATGCCCAACTTTTTTAACCAACAATCATCAAAACAACTAGAAAAAGCTCACGTAAAATCCTCCACTTAAAACCACATACCAGCCAATGGAATGAACAAAGAAAGAAAATGAAAGAAAATTCCAACACCAATGGTCAAATCAAATCTGGACATAGCAATAGAAAAGACATGGGGAAACTTCACCTTGTTTTGCAGGGGAAAAACTAAACAATGATGACCATGATGATGATTTCCGTAGGCGGATAACAATTTTCTTGCTTCTTTCTCCCTCTTTTGTGCATGATTTGTGAGAAAAGGAAAGAGAGACAGCCGAAAATTGGGTTGTGAGTCAGTGTCTTATTAGTTGTGAAAGTTTTTTTTTTTTACCATAGAAAGAGAGATAGGGGAGTCGAGAGAGGAGAGTTTTTTTGGGGGGCGGGGAAGGGTGGAGGAATGTTTCTTTTTTTTTTTTTCAAGTGAATTTTCTGAGAGTGATGCCTGATGCGTGGGAGACAGAGATGGCCAAGAGATGGGCGTGGGGTTCTGTGGGAAAATTGAAGTGTTGGGAATATTTTGGGAGGGAGGAGGTTGGAGAAATGTTTGTTGTGTGGAGAGATTTTTTTTTTTTTTTTTTGGGAGTTGGAGTTGTCTTGTCGTGAATTGAGAAAATTGAGAGAGGTCCCGAGAGGTTTTAGGGATTGAGAGTTTATGGGACTAAAAAATTCTAAAACCTAGAATTGATGATTAGGATAAAATAGGATTATTTGTTCCATTTCTCTTCTTTTAATCCATTTTTGGTAGGTGTTAAATGATGAAATTTGGATGATGAGTTGTCCTTGTACTATCTAAAACTTGGAGGGAAAGAAAAAGAGGAAAAATTCATTCAAAAAATCTGCACAAAATTTATTATTGCTAGTTCGTTGCATGAAGAAGGAGAAATTGCATGCGTGCACTGCAGGTGCATCTGAAACCACAAATTTTTTTTTTACTCAAAATATATTTTGGATGACTTGATACACCTAAACTCGATACCAAGTGGTGATTTCTATTTTCTTAAAACCCTTTTAAACTATTATTTTGGCCCCAAACTGTGCACTTTCTAATTCCCATTTTAGGCCATTTTTCCTTTATTTTCTAAAAACAAAAATTCATTTTGAAATCACCTTTTCTCTTTTATTTTTTGAAAATGGGGCGTGACAAAAATCATCACCTATTAAATTCAAAATATTTATGGTGATTTTTGAAAAATAAATTAACAACAAAATTACGAAAATGTTTCTGGATTTATGTTGACTAACTGGTACTTAAATTTTTTGAGATTTTGGGAATCAACACGTATTCGCTGATACTTTAAGAAAGCCCTTTAGTTCCTCTTTGGCATCCTTTCTGGTGATGGAATATTAGGAAAGAGTTATTATATGATACCAAAAATACAACAGTAAAAATACATATGACTCGGGGATCATACCCCTATTTATAGATAACTTTCCCATTATCTTTTTTATTCCTATTTTAACCCATCATAAAAATAGAAGTTACTCTTAAATCTCTACCTATTAAAGGCCCACATCTTATGAGATACATTAAAGCCCAAACTATAATTGATCGTTTTAATTGAATTTAATTTTAATTGACAGTTTACAACGTATAATTACTCACATATAAGTCCAACGTTAAATTAAAAATCAACCTCTAGCACTAAAGAAAAATACTTGCATGTGGATCAAAAGATGGTTAAAGGGTCTCAAGCAAAAACATTCAGGATTCAAGAGAATTAAAGACTCCCAGTTGTATAGCAAATTGCACGCACATGACTCAAATCTTGAAGAGTAAGGACTCAAATAAGGGGTGGAACTGGTGTGGAGAGAGGTGGGAGGGTCAAAAAAAATGGGCCTCCGTTGGATCAAATGGACTTGGAACGCCAACTTTCAAGTTCTGTTTTGAAACTCGGACCGGATCGGTGATCGAACTGGGAACCGGCCAAGTATCCGGTCCGAGTCATGGTAAAAATGAAAATTTAAAGTTCGGTCAAAGCCGATCAAAAACCGGATTTGACCGGGAAAAAACCGGTTTTTCCGGTTCAATGGCATTTTTTTTAAAAAAAAAACTCAATCTTTTCAATATTATGTTTTGACCCCCTAAATTGTTAAAACTTATTAATATACCTCAAATATTTCATACTTTATAAATATTGTCCTAAAATTTGATGTTATTTTTCAATTAAATTCATAATTTTAATTCTAAACTTGTTAATATTTATTAAATAACATAAATTGCTACTTGATTGTTCTAATTTCTTTGTATTTTCTTGTTAAATATATTTGAAACATCAAATATATATGAATATACCTTTATTAATATTAACATATTATTAGATATTTTATATATAATATTTTAATTTTTAAATAATTTTTATTTATGACGTCATCCGGTTCAACATCTATCGACCCCCCGATCGAACCCATTGATCCCTGACCCCTGACCTTGGCCGAGTCGATACTCGGTCCGGTTCTGAAAACATAGCTTTCAAGGGTGGTGTTCATGCAAGTGTTTCCATAATAAATGCAGATATTTGTAAACTGCATGGAAAGTTATTACCAAATTTTAATTCGCTTAACAAGTTGCCCAAAAATTCTCTAAATTGTGTTATCTCGTTTCCTGATGCAGGTTTACCATAGTGGTCTTGTAGATTTATGAAATGACATTATTGTTACATCGTCAATCACACATCTGAGCATGAACTAAGTCATCTGCTCCAGTATCTAAATATTTAGTCAAAGATATAGGAGGAGACCTGGAGGTAGAAGTCAAGTAATTGGCATGAACAGCAGCATATGGTGGTGCGTTATTTTTTCTTCTTGGTAGTAAAGTCAAATAGATATTTAGTGATTTTGCTTTAATTTGATTACGATACAAGTATTTTCCATGTACAAAATTTTCGCCCTTTGATTTTATTTTGGTGTACAATTTGGTTTTAATTTTTAGATCCACCCACAAATGTGTTTGTAGAGTTTCAACGTAGTTTTTGATGGTTTTACACCCAATTACGTCATTTTTTTTTCTTTTTAATTCACATCATAGAACAAAGGATAAGAAAAGTTACTACCCTTTAAATTTCGTCAAAAAGGATCATTTTTTTTATTTATTGTCAATTTAAAACACTTCAAACACTATTCAACTGCATAGGAAGAACAGCATATTCTGATAAAATTATCTTACCATGTAATCATTGTTGTGAATTAATTTGGGATGGTTTCTATCAGTGTGGTATGACTAGTCAGCGGGTAGAAATGATACGAGTAATGACTAGCTGGAGAGTATCAAAACATCCACATAAAGTTTTCCTAATCTTCTAATCAATAAAATGGTTGATTTCACTTTTCACCTTTTAACTATATCTAAATTTTTACTTTATAGTCCCTGAACTTCATAGTGAAACACTTTAACCCCTCAAGCATAAAATATATTACACTTATTAATAAGTACTGTTGGAATTATGGTTCTTATCTATAGTGATAATTATAAATATCATGATCAAGCATATTTGAGATTTTTTGCTGATATGGATTTTTCATTACTCATGTGTTAGGATTAGTTACTAGTTCTAATTTTATATAAATGTATATTTTTTGGGAATTGGTTGGAATGTGTACTTATTTATTAATACAGTTTTGGTTTGCACGACCACTTGCTACAAATGTTTGCCAAAAGGTCAAATTAGTTGCACTTCAGTTTCTGAAGTATAAAAACTTTTACACTTTAGTATTTAAGTGGGATAGATGTTATGCTTAACTGGGACACATTTTATATTTTAAGGACTGAAGTAGAACAAATACTGATTAACTGAGATATACTTTTATACTTTAAAAATTATAACATCAAACTATAAGTAGCAAACACACCCATTTAGTTAAATTTACCATACCCACCTATGAATAAATGGGTATGAGTATCTTGAGTTTTTGCATATGGGTATAAATGGGTTACCTAATAATATCTATTCAAACCCAATTAACCCATTTAAAATTGTCTTTTCCCGAACCTCCTCTCTTCCCCCACCCATTTCTTTTCAGATTTTTCATTTTGTCATGATATTAACTACTTTTGTTTCATTATTATTATTATTTGTTGATCTTATCTTATCATTTTTTTCTCTTAGTTTGTTAATTTGCTCATTTTTCAGCATTACCAATTTACGACAAGTTTTAATCTCTTTTCCTACCTTTTCAAAATGAAATTTTAAATTTACACACGAAAAAAAACTAGGGGTTCAAAATTTTTGGATTAAGTTTTTATGTTAATTTTTATATTCTTATCGTTCAATTATTAAATAGTATGTAATTTTGTGACATAGAGTACGGATGGAAAAAAATTGGTAATTAGACTTATTGAGCATTATAAGTAAATATTTAAAACTAATGATGGGTGCAAAGGGTGGTATAAATTGATAACTTAGTTTGCAAAAATGAATTTAAATAAATTTATAAAATGTTAAAATAAATGAGTTATAAATGGGTAATTGGGTTATCCAATTCATTTTTTTTTTGACTTGCCCATTTATACCCATCTAACTAAATGGATAGAAATGGGTTGACTCACTGATACCCATTACCCATTATAACCAACCCAAACCCGTCCAAATTACCCATTTTGATACCTCTACATCCAACTTTGAAATTTAGTAACCAAATGAGAATTTAGATATGGGTGCAAAATGGAACCAATCCAAATAAATTCCTTGGACTTAAAGGATCTTTAATAACTAAGGGTGTATCACACTTCTTCCTCTGGTTTGTGAAATATAGTTTGAAAGATCGAAGCTTTCTGCAAATGCTGGTACTTTTCCATATGTACAAGTTCCATCACGGATTAGGTAGTTTCCCTAATCTTTGACGTACAACTTGAATATAGATAGTCCTATTTTTTTTTCGCCATCTGTACCATGTTCACTTTAGATCATTAATAAAATTATTATATCCCATTTTGGACAAAATTATTTTATTTAGGTAGCCTAGACTTTAAGTAACCAATTAATTATAAATCATCGTAACAACTAACATAATAGTTAATCACTTAAAGAAATCTGAACATGGACCATGCTACTCTTCCTCTTTAGGGAAGCAAAGTCACATTGATTTTTTTGGATACTCGGGGAAATCATGATTCGTTCCATTTATATTAATATTATGAAGAATTGTGCTGATTTAAATTTTCTTAAGGTAACTTCAAAAACATAATTGCCCTTGACAGAAGTTTGAATTATGAATTGAGTGTTCTCCGTATAATATTGAGTGTTGTCACTGGTACACTCAAATTCTTTATTAAAAGAAGTTCTTAATACCTTTAAGTTAGTCCTTTGGGAAGTATATTATTGTGGTCGTTTTTTTAACCGCTATTGGGGTCATTATCCTTGATTTCGATGTGGATATTCCAAGGACCGAAACAAGGATGAAATAGACAATTGACCATCCTATCATGATCTATGACTATGTAGTTGAGGTTGGCGATGAAGAAAGGGAAGGGCAAAATCAAAGAAATGATGAACATTGTCGGTAGATGATTGCACGATAAGTTGCAAATTTGAGATAGATTGATTCCAGAGAAATGTTAAAAACTACAAAACAACGC